ATGGTGGCAAACTCAGAAGGAAGGAAGGAGGGGAGGAAGGAGGAATGGGAAGTCTGCATATAAACCCAGGTGAGGATGAATGCACACCACCTCCTCACTTTCCTACGAGTACCACTGCCTAGCCCAGGCACACCCCCAGCCTGGATGCCCCCATGGCCCTGCCCCCTCCCCACTATGGATCAGCAACGGACACCTTGTACAGGTGAGGCAATCCACAGCTTGCCTGCTGACCCAGCAACTGAGGACTGGCTCAAAAGGATGAGCTGGCCCAAGTGGCTTCTCCTGAGATCCGGGAGCTGGGAAATGCAGAAGTGGCCCAGGGCAGGTCTCGCACAGGCCTGCTGTGCATTGGCTGGCAGCTGGCGGCCATTCCTGGGGTAGGTACATGCTGGGCAAGCAGCAGAGGCCAGGTGTCAGGGTGAGAAGCACAGGTAGGGGGCGGGGGGGCGGGGGACGACGACACACAGTTCTTGAAAAGCAGCTTCATTTCTCAATACTTGGTTTCCAGGTCCTCTGTGATCTGCTGCATTGTCTCTGGATCTTTCCAACAATCCATTTTTTTCCTTGAGCAAGTTTGAGTGCATATTTGATTCCTTTTTATCTTTGAGAACCTCTGAGACACTGACTCCATTTTTACAGATGTAGAAACTGAGGTCTAAGGAAATTAACCTATGCAAAATGCTTATGGGCTCATAATTGAAATTCATTTATCCTTAGAAAAAAAGATCAAAGCTCTAAGCTCTCTGCATAAACATTTTTCTGACCCAAGAAGGAAACAAATTCACTCTGCCCGTCCTAAATTGCAGTCTGCCCAGTCAACTCTAAATAATGAACTAACAAAGGGGGAACTCCAGCCAGAGAGATGGCAAACGGGAGGTTCTCTGATTAGACCGGGAAGTTCTCTGTAGTCTTCGCAGGTTTCAGCCAGATTGGAAGGCTCTTGAAATAAACAACGGTGGAATCTTTCTTGACTCACAGCTTTTATCTCTGAAGCCTCAAGTATGTTAGAAATTTCCCATCTGTCCTCAAGACACGCCTGCTTTAAGGAGAGTGAAAAGGCAGGCTAGTTAGGAGACTAGAACACAAGGCTTTTAGTAACTCGGAGGCCGGTTTTAGCTTAACAGGTTGCAGGGAGCGCGGCTCAGGTTTCCCATCTGTCCACATTCCCCAGGCTTCACTAACCTCGCTCACATTCAGCCACAGCCCTTTATTTCATGAGGCAGCTCCAGTGGGAGGTGTTCTAATGCAGAGGTTCTGGAAGAGGCTGAACAAGGTCTCACATTCAGGTGACGCACGGCCTCGGGGTCCCCGCTCCCTGGTATTGGGGTCACCTGCTGATAACTATGACGTCAGATCCTACCCCAAGAGGGGCCCATGCAGACCTGGGTAGGCGCAGAACTGGTGCTTCTGGGTCACCTGGCTAGTGCCAGTCCAAGCAGGCCTGGGGGTCACGCTGTTAAGGGTGCTGGTCTCAGTTGCTCTGTCCTAAGGACACCTGAAAGCCAGGATCTCCCCTACACACAGGCTCGAGCCCAATTCAAACCTCAAAAGTAAACCAATTAATGGTACCGGGGGCTGGGGGGCTGGGGCACTGGGAGTGATCACTTAACGGGTAAGGGGTGTTCTGGGGTGATGAGAAAGTTTGAAACCAGAGAGCGGTTATACCACATTGCAAATGTACTCAATACCAAGGAACTGTACACTTTAAAATGGTTAACTGGATATTATGTGACTTTCCCATCAAAAAAACAAAACAAAAAAAAGAACAACAAAACCCAAACAATCAGAAAAGTTTGCAGATCCCTGGTCTGAAAAGTAACCCCTGAAGAGAAGAATTTGTCAGCGATGCTGCACGTTGGCCAGGCAGAGGGTGCCCGGCCAGGGTCACCCCTACAGAGAGGGCGGACAAGTCCAGGTAGCTGAATGGTAGCATTCTCTAAGATCACTCAACTCATTTCTTAACTGTATCCTTGACTTTCAAGTAAATTTACAGGTCTACAAGAAAAATTTTAATTCTACCTGTTTATTTTTACTCTAAAAATTAGTTATGGGGGCCAGCCAGGTGGCACAGTGGTTGAGTTTGAGCGCTCCGCTTCGGGTGGCCCAGGGTTCGAGTTTCCAGATCCCAGGCGCAGACCTTGTAAAGCCATGCTGTGGCGGCGTCCCACATATAAAGTAGAGGAAGATGGGCACGGATGTTAGTCCAGGGCCAATCTTCCTCAGCAAAAAGAGGAGGATTGGCAACAGATGTTAGCTCAGGGCCAATCTTCCTCACAAAAGAAAAAAAAAAAGTTATGTGGCTTACGTTTGTGGCTTGAAATTGATTTCGATTGGCCAGCCCTGGACTTGGGGACACTTGCCCATAAAGTTCACGTGCCCTCCCAGGCACCAGGTACGGCAAGGAAGTAGCGGCTCAGGACATACAAACAGGAGCTCTGGGCCTGGGCTTTGCTACTTATTGATAACCCTCCGAACCTGAACTTGAATGAGGTACTCTCTGAGCCTCATTTCTTATCTGTAAAATGGGCAGGATGCACAGAGCGTTCCTGGGCTTGAGTAGATGCAACACGCAGAAGGTGGTTAGCTGAAGCCCGTGAGCTGGAGCTCCCACCATCACAGCCATCCGCAGAACCGTGGGAACTGAGCCTTGGTCTCCCTGACCAAGGTTCATCCTCGGCTGGCACACTCTCCAAGGAGTCATCGGGCCAAATTCTGTTATTTGTGGGTTACACTGGTCGTTCACACTGGTCTTAAAGTGAAGAGAAGTGGAGTCAGCATCCTTTCCGCTCCCTCACTTGGTCCACCATCTTGAACAGCAGCCTCCATGGGCACTTAATAAACTATTTCTGACAGTGATAACAGAGGGATCAGTAACAGGGTAAGACCCTGACTCCGCCTCGCTGGAATTACATGCAAATCCCAAAACCAGGCACCAGCAAAACTCTGGACATAAAAATCCAAACTCTGAGAAGCTCCACCTCACAACGAACTTGAGACAGATCAGATCTTGACTGTTAAGAAGCACAGAGAAAACAATGCATTTCTGTTTCTGGGGAAAAAAGCCACAAAAATCAGCCAAATGTGTCAAGATCCCATTTTTTCCACAACAAGCGGATGGTCTCTTTAAATGCCAGGAGACACATGTCCACTCTGCCATCTCCAAGGCAAGCAAAGGTGAGCCTCCCCCTCCAGGCTCCCAGGAGCCCTTTATGCCCGAGACGGAGACAGTGGGCACCACTCTCGCTCACCTCAAGACGGCCAGGCCCTGTCCTACCCACTCTCCTGTTTCCTCTTCCCAGATGTCATGCTGCCCTAGAAACTCCGGCTCAGTGCCAGAAAAAGCAAACCACATACGTGACACCCAGAGAACTGGTGGAGCAGGAGAGGGGTCCCAGGCAGGGCCCCCCATTAACCTCCTCCTGCCTTGCTCAGGAGAGAGCCTTCACTGGCCAAGCTACTCCCCATATCCAAAGGTGAGACCAAGAGGGAGTCAGACAGAGTCATGTTGCACAACCCACTGGTATCCAGCAGTTTATCTAGAAAGGAGAACCGGGCTGCACACTTGCTGTCTGATTTCAGAATCCCCAGCATTCCGCCAATGCCAGGCCAAAGGAATGCGAGGAATCTGGAAGCATTTCACTGGTTTCACCACATCCCAAACAGACCACAGCCTCCGGGGCAGGGGCTGTACTTATAAGGTAGGGCCTGCTGGTGGCTGCTTCCTAGGAATAAGTATTTTAAGTCCCTGAGACCTCAGCGCAGCGAGGATTGACCCTGGGACCAGAAGACTCCTGAATTCCTCACTTCACTATTAAAAGCCCCCGGGGCGTAACCTGCAGACTTTCCCAAACATTCTTTCTATCCTAAAGGCATGCGGACACTGGAAAACAGAGACGTGACATAAAAGGTGGGAGAGAAGAAAACTGCAACAAAATCCATCAACTTCCCTCAGGTGAACAGAGGATATACAGGATTTAAAGAAAAACCTGGAATAATTCAAGCAGCGGCCCACGCTATTCGGAATGGCTTTTATTATTCAAACATGACCCTGAAAGGAAGCAGCCTCTGAGCTGTTCCTTCTCAACAATCCTCTTCTGCCCAGTGGATGCAAATGATCCGCTTTAGTTATATTCAATCCTTTCACCCGGTGAGGAATGAAATTTGTTGCTGTTTTAAACACATGAAGGCTGCGCCATATGATGCAGACGATCTCACCCAACTTATTTTACAAAAGATGGTTTCCTTCTATTGCCAGCCAAGAGAATAAAGATCAGAACAGCCAAGAAAATATCCGAGAACACCCTAGCAGGATATCATTTACTCTCCCCTTTCTGCTAGGAGTTACCGAAAGCCTCCCGTTCTTCCTCCTGAATACCGGCTAATGCATCCTTTTAACATTTTCTGCCATTGTATTCCAGGGACAAACGCTCTCCTAGAGGCCCAGTGCGGGTGACCGGTAGGTAAGCAGGCAGCCAAATGGCTCTCTCTCAACCGGCATCTCGTCACTGGTGGTCATTGTGTGGGAACTCATAACCTCTTATGTTATAAGAATAACTCCTTTGTGCAAACACAGCAGGACAGCCAACCTGGGCTCTGTCCCATGGCTGCCAGGGTGGAGAACAAGCTGCCCATCTGGTTTCTGGGTAGAGCGAGAACATTCCATTGGTGGCAACAGAAAGGGAAGTCATTGAAAGTAAATAGAAACAAGGAGTTCTGGGAACTCACCAGTGCCAGGTACACGGGTGACATCTGACCTCCCCGTGTTGGGGACATTGAGAGCTGATGAGGATGTGAGGACAGAGCTGTGAGGGAGATGCTGGCAAGTGCTGTAAAAGGCCAAGAAGTGTCACTGGAAGGTTCTGGAAGCTCTGAGCTGCTCTGCATGCCTATGGGGCATGTCTCCCCACAAGGGTCTGTGCATCTTGGTGGTGACACCGCTGCCTCCACTCAGCGGGCCCAAGTATGGCTGCTCATTCGAACACCCTGTTGGCATTGCTTACCTACAACAGGCCACCAGCTTCCCGACGTCAGAGGACAAGTCCCAGGACCCGGCCTTCCGTCCAGAAAATAAGGGAGATGCTACAAGACAAAAAAGGAGATGTGACTGAGATTCGGAGTCTCGTTCAGCTGAAAACCTCACTTCTCCGCTTTCCCTCCAAGATTCTTCCACACCCAGAGTAGACTGCATCTGCAAACTGCATTTACACAGTAAGGAGAGGACGGTGGCGGATGCTGTGGTGTGGCACCCAGATGCCCTTTCCATCCCAGCTGCCGGGAGTGTGGCCGTAGAAGGACCCCTTCCTAGAACCGCCTCGCCCTCCCCCAGGTCAGGGCCCTCCCTGGGGCAGCCATGCCTGGGTGAAAAGCCTGGCCCTCACCCTCCTCCAAACTCCCGACAACTCCGAGGGGCCATCCCACGGTCGGAGCTCCTGTGGGGTGTCGAAGGGCTCCACGGAGACTGCGCTGCAGCCCCGCTGTCTGCTCCAGCTGTCCCCCCTTCCCTTCCCTTCCACGGGTGCCGACCCCAAGCATGCTCCTCAGTAAACCTCCTGCACCATGACCTGCGTCAGAGCTGGCTTCCCGGGAGCCCAGCCTGCCACAAGGGCTTTTTTGGCTTTTTTCCCCCACAACCCTGTGTCTTCCCTCACCTGCTTACTTCTGCTGCAAAGACTGGCAGTGTTAGCTCAATACAATAATCTTATCAGCTGAACCCTAAAGACACATTCCAGACGCCCTGCGGGCAGTGGGGCTTCCTCCTCACACGCCGGGTCACTAGGAGGCAGTTCAGGTCTCACGGTACTAACGTAATAACAGCAGAGCCCACGTCTGTGCAAGTTTCCTTAAACAAGGATGACGACAAGACAGTGGGATTGAAGGCCACCACCGTATGAACCCCCTCTTAGCCATCGGCATCCAGAATGCCATTCTGGACAGTACCAGAGTGGCTCTGGGGCTTTATAAGAATCCTGGCCCTTGTCAGGTTGTCAAAGAGGAGGCCAAAATTTCATTCTCGACACCTTCCCTAAATCAGGGCCACAGGGCCTGCAATAGTCCTCCCTGGAACAGACCCTCCTCCATGTAAGTATTTCACATGCAATTCAAAGGAGCATCGCAAGAATGATCCCCCATGATGCTGAGACAGCTGGTCAGTTTTCAAGACATGGTTTCTCCTTTGGGGCTTCAATGGCAAAATGAATTCCAGATGCAGAGAAGGGGGGGTGGGGCATCAACCAGAAAGAAAGAGAAAATCTAGTACGTACACAGTTGATCTCCAGGTAGAGGCTGCCCGACGCCCACCTGCCAGGCACGAAGTGTTTGCTCAACTCCTCCAGTCTGCTGCCCAATCTGAACTCCAACAAGCTGCCAGGTTTCTTTCTTTACGAGGAGAGAAGTATGTTCATTTGCAACATCCTTACTCACTGTGGCTTTAAGCACTGCTTCTCTCAGCATTTTTGGGTAAAGGCCTTTCAAGCCCTCTGGGGCTCTTCCCTGGCCCATTCCAGAAGATTCTTTAGGTAGACAGTTTTCCCTTACGGCTTCACCGCCCTGGAGCTGAGTTGTATTTCATCCCACATTTCATCACACAAATCCCTGGCAGGTTCCCTGGACAGGACGGTGATAGGGTAAACTCACACTTCATACCCAGTGTGGTATGGACCCAGTGTTGCCCAACCAGCTGACTCAGAGATGTCCCTGCTGGATTTGAGGCAAGTACAGGGGCACACAGGGAGTCCCCTGCCAACTCAAGTGTTGGAGTGTGGGGAGGGAGGGTGTGTGGCTTTGGACTCTCATGCCAGTGAGGTCCAGGGTGAGTGGGTTAAGTGGACAAGACTAGCTGGACTCTTTCTGCCTCCCGAGCTCCATGCTCTTCTTCTCTGGAAGCCCTGGGTTTCTGCACAAGACCAGCCTTCTTGAGAGGAGAGGAGCTGTGATCTTTTGGCCAAGCACTGTTCTCCCAAGGGAGCCACCATATACCAGTGTGGGCCCATCAGTCTCCATGGCCCCAAAAAGAAAACCACAGGATTCAGAGTGGGTTCATCAAGTTAGCATAAAGCCCCGAAGTCTAGACCATGCCTAAGCCCCTGATTTTGTTTCAAGAAACATCAATGCTGTTATTAGGCAAAATTGAGGGGAAATCTCCAAGAACCACAGAGCTGTCAAAAAGCAATGCCAAGAAGACGAGATTCTGTTGTCTTCTGGAGTCTCCAAACACGAGTGTTCTCTCCTACAGTCCAATGAGGACGGCGTTTATGTCCTCTTTACGCATGTCTTAGGAGCTGTTTTAACAACAGCGTACAGTCTCAGCTGATGATACAATTCAGAGTTTATCCTACCTGAGGCCTAGAAAGCTCAGTGGATACACGATAACAGACTCATGAAATTTAGACAGGAAACTATATTCATACAAAGACAAGAGACGACAACTTTGTCCTAAGTTCTCATGGTAGGACAGCCATTCCTTCCCACTTCCCATATGCTATGGATGGAACTACGTCCCCTCCCCAAATCCCTATGTTGAAGTCCTAACCCCCAGCACCTCAAGATGTGACCTTACTTGAAGATAGGATCTTTACAGAGGTAATCAAGTTAAAATGAGGTCATTTTAAAGGAGGATTTGGGTTCCAAATCCAATACGACTGATGTCTTTACAAAGGGGAAAGTTTGTAGGCAGACGAACACAGAGAGAAGGCCATTTGAAGATGAAGGCAAAGATCAGGGTGATGCTTCTACAAGCCAAGGACCACCAAGGATTTCCAGCAAACAACCAGAAGCTAGGAGAGGGGCATGGAACAGATTTCTCCTTTACAGCTTCAGAAGGAACCAAGCTTGCTGATCCTGGTTCTTAGATTTCTAGCCTCTAGGACTGTGAGACAATAAATTTCTGTTTAAGCCACCCAATTTGGGGTACTTTGTTATGGCAGCCCCACCAAACGAATACACCATATATGCAAAATGGGAGAAGGAATTCTCATGACTCTGCCAATCTAGAGAGCTGCTGCAGGAGTGACAGATTCCAAAACGCCCCATAAACTCTTCACTCACCACGACCTACAGGTTGGCCTATGATAACCTACCAAGAGCTGGTCCATGCTGCAGGGCCAAGTCTTTCCGGGCATGATCTATGGGGCTTCCTGATGTCAGTGAACACCCCAAACTTCACACTTTGTTCCAACCACCTCAGTATGTGCTCAATGGCCTGATCCACTTACATGCCCAGCACACAGTTCTTCAAGGGTAGAGGTACAGTAATTTTAGGGTGGCTTTGAGAAAACTGGAAAACTAAACCTACTCCTCAGGTTTCCAAGCCACCATGACGGACATGTATGGATCTATCTTCAGCCAAAGGATCCTTCACATCCTGCATCTGCCAATATCTAGATTGGAGTCTCTCTATGGCAGGAATCACTTCTCCTGCATCCTTACCTCTGCCATACCTGAAAAGCATCAAAGGAATAGAGCTAGACTACAAAGTAGAGCCAAATAAATGCTTGGCCTAGACCTGAGGCAAACTGTGGCCCACAGGCCAAATCCAGCCTGTCTTTGTATAGCCCATGAACAAAGAATGTTCTTATATTTTTAAATAGTTAAGGGGAAAAACAATCAAAAAAGAATAATACTTCATGACGTGAAAATTACGTGAAACTGACATCACAGTGTCTTAAATAAAGTTTTATTGAACACTGCCACACCTATTCATTTACATTTTGTTTACAGTTCATTTGTGCATCAAGGACACAGAGTAGCTTCGACAGAGACCATATGGCCACAAGAGCTGAAAAGATTTACTGTCTGGCCTTTTACAGAAAGTCTGCCGACCCCAGTTCTACACCAGCCCTACTTAAGCCATGGGGCAAAGGGCCAGGCCTCTGTGGGCTCAAGTCATAGGGAAGTGGGCATGCACCCACGGCCCATGGCTGAATGCCAGAAGTGCTGGCCACATAGCAGGTGGGATAAGAGACAGCAGAGGGAAGGAAAGAAAAACAACCGGAAGGTGCGGAAGGTGTGGCTAGAAAGGGAGACAACAACTGCTGCAAAGGTCAACTTCATCAATTCAAGATTGTTATCTAGAGCTGGCTCCAACGGGAAGAGGGAGGCGCTCCTGGCCTCCTCCAGCAGCACAGTGACCTCCACCCCCATGTACAGTTTCAGCCGGATCAGTCCTTACGCAAGTGACGCTCAAGACCAGTCCAGATCTCACGGCCTGGCCACGGACTTCATCATCTCAGGTTTTTCATTGTTATGGAAGAAACTCTAAGACAACCATTTACACAACTGAGAAAATGACACTTTGGTAGACTGGCAACGCCCTTTATATTTAATGCTATCAAGATCAACACTCTAAAAACTGTTAACTAAAAAAGCATTTAGGCATGTGGTGGATGATACAGCCAAGTGAAAGTGTCTGAAATCTCACTTGATTTATGTGGTGACATTTCCTTACCCAGAATATGGAACTGGTTTACCTACCTTTCCTATAATTACATAACATTGCAAGTTTTATATAGAACGTGGAAAGGAACAACCTTTCCTCTCTCCTGTATTAAACCTATACTGAATATTAAGCACAAAGGGTGGGGCTATTGAAACAACCAACCAGACACCACAATGGTTCCATTTACACGTTCATCCTTTCACTCTACACTTTTGTGGGTTCCTACCTGGCACCTGACGCGGTATGGAGTCAGTAGTTTAGTTCATTGTGTGCAGCTGGTATTTCTGAATGTCCTTCCTCCCTGGCAGAGCAGGGGAATAGGGTGGAGGCTCGCTTGTCTGTGTGCAGACAGGAGGCATCTGTCTCACCTGTACCCATGCTCTTTCTGAGGTGTCTCTCCGAGGACTCCCACACCGATGGCCACAAGGCTGCTTTGCCCTCCTCCTTCGGGCTTCTGCTCACCCAAGACACTGCGGGCAAACCCACAGTCAGAAAAGACTTTCACCCAACATTACAAAGACTGGAAGATCCACATACATTTGGCTTTTTCTACTTTTTTAAATTATTCTTCTTCCAGGGTCTAACTTTTCCAACTCACTGACCAGTCACTTATGGGCCTCACAGACTGACGCAGCTCACAGT